ATTAACATCAAACTGCCTTTACTTTAACCTGCTGTACAATCAGTCTGAGTGTATTTTTACTTTAATGAATGGACTAATCTGATTGGCTGCTGTGTTGTGTCGTGGTCAGGTGCAGGCCGACCTGTCATAGTCCTGGCAGATCTCTCCCACAGCCACCAGAGCCTTCAGGTACTCGTTGGGCTGGTACGGGTGGATGTAGTGCAGAGAGCAGCTGTTACGAGGATCTCCGTTGGAGGCCGTGAAGTCGATGGCTACCTGGAGACACGACAACCAATCAGAGACAAGCTTTAACCCTTTAAATGTTACGTTTCTGTCTTGTATGTAATGCTCTGCGTCTCATTCACTTCAAATGAAGCCTGTGTGATGTTTGAGACCATCTTCTGTGCAAAGCGTTAACTACTAGCCTAACTACTTTTCTGTAGACTTGCAATCGTACATCAACAATAAATACAGTTAAACAGACAAAAAAAGGACACAATTTTTTTTCTTTGTAGCTACTTAACCATAATAGAAGCACAAAAATCAAGGACAACTGAACCAATAAGCAACATCTGAACAAGTCAGGAAAATCCGACAGGCAAAACGCTCTTATTCTGAAATGCTCCATGTGGCTATGTAACGTTAGCCTGCAGAGAGCGGAACGCAGCCACAGAGAGCGGTTATCCATAGTTCACAAACTGACAAATTAACAACACGTTAACAACGTGCAGGCTAAACGCTCCGCTGCTGAAACGTCAGTGTGAGTTGATGCCGGACAAAACCGCGGCTCAGCCGCTGCCTGTGTCGGTGACAGGAGGCGCATGGCGTGACAGGAGGCGCATGGCGTAAAAGGAGGCGCATGGCGCTTGTGATTGGCGAACAAGTCTGTTACACAAGGATGACAAAGGCATGAATCTGTAACTGCATGACTGTTTAAAACAGGTCAGACGCATTATTAACCTACATTTTAATCACCGTCTTCACGATTAGCTAATCACGTTCTTTCAAATCGCAATTTCGATCTGAAAACGATTAATTGTTCAGCCCTAGTCTGAACCAAATGTTTTAATACATTCGGTTAGTTTAGGTTTGGTTTCACATTGCAATCATGCAACTGCACGAAAGAACTTTACGTGACAGACTTTCAGCGTCGATTCAGCATCATCAGAGTGGGCTGCCAATACTCAACATTGATTGGTTTGTAAAAGGACGTGTGTCTGATGTCAGCATGTTGTCACTTGGGCGGGTAGCTTTGACAAGCTTTGAGTCTATGGCCTTCATATCGTTGCCACTATATTGTTATTTTATCCTTTGAGCCCTGGCACCTCTATGTGGGGAGAGACCAAAGAGGTGAGCGGCAGTTCGCTTCCATAGTGGCCGTCTGTTTGAAAAGATGAGCTGTCACTGGCGATTTATAATTGTGTCTTTATTTCAGTGCATTTCTCAGTGCATAGAAATACAATAGATTAAATTCTCTCTGTTGTTTCTGGTTTACTCGGGAACAACTGGTACTTTTGATTCGGACCGAGACTACCTCTTTTTGTTGGACCAAATTCTGGCTGTTTGGTCCGCACCCTGGTCGTGGGGAGGTTTCAAACCTGTAATTTTGGTTTGAATCAAGTCCAAAGGCCGGATCTAAGGCGGTAGGTGTGAAAAGGGCCCAAAGTTATGTCGTTATTTTAACCCAAACCATGCTGTTTTTGTAAACCTAACCAAACTCTGCCATTTCAGAACATCACCAGGAGATTTATTTTGAAAGTCTAAACGGCTGTTGTATATGTATTCTTGCTGACTTGACTCCAGATCCCTAAACGTCCAAAAAATACACTAAAGAGAACCCAAGGCATTAAAAAGCAAGCGCCAAGGATTCTTGACTAAGCGTCCTTGTGACAACTCTTCACCCAACTATGAAATATAATTTACATCTCACTGATGATGAAGTGGAATAATTCGCTTGTTACACTAATGAGCTCGTGTCAGAGATACGTGTGTGTGTGTGTGTGTGTGTGTGTGTGTGTGTGTGTGTGTGTGTGTGTGTGTGTGTATATTTATGGTTTTACATTACTGTATATGTACCTATGAAAAATACAAATACTATGAAACCCAAAGCGCCTCACAAGAAGAAGTTTGTAGACTTGAATCCAAAAAGCTTTTCTGTTACCCAACACAGTATATATATGTGTATAAATGTAATAATAGGACTGACACTGAAACATATATGGTATTTCGGTACATGCAATAAATCATTCAGCTATTCTAACTTTAGCAGAACTTGAGTGGAAAATGAGGCTCTAGAGGGAATGGTGTGTTAGTCTTTAAATACAAGAAGAGAGAAAGTTTCATCTCTGACAGAAACATCTTTTCCAACTAAAACATCCTGCAGCCTGCGTACACACAGACGGAGTTTCCTCTGGAGAGGACATGAACCGACAAACAAACAGCTGATTCGACACGCTGCTACAGAGAAAAACACACCTCACTCCTCTTCTTACCGCCTTCCTCACTGAACTGAAGCTTCCTCACTTGTTTACATGTAAAGTGAGTTTCTGACCCTCCTGGGCGATTAAACCCCAGCGGGTTATTTCAAACAGAAACTCTTTTCTTTCGTCTTCTCCTGACTGTTGTAGGAAAGTGTTTTCTGATGGTGATTAAACATTTAAACATTCGAGGAGAACGAGGCGGCTCAGATCTTGTAGCTTCGCTGCAGGAAGTGATGCAGCTTTATGGAGTTCAGTGTTGCTGCTGACTTCCTGTTTGTATCACAGCCGGACTGAAGCATGGTGCTTAAAGTTGTTAGAAGAGGACGTTTAAAGATCTGAGGTCAGTTTTCCTCTACGTTATGGGGAGTTGAGGTGTATCCCATCATGCACACTGTCACAGAACAATGAGCGCGGCTTCCCTCAGTGACGACCGGCTACTGCAGATTCATCCTCCACAACATCAGGAGGATGCTTCTGTTCCTCACCCAGGAGCAGGTTCTGGTCCGGTGTCTTGTAATCTTTGATCCCTCAGTCTGCATGTCGAAGTGTCCTTGGGCAAGACACTCAACCTCAAATTGCTCCTGATGGCTGTTCTATCAGTACGTGAAAGTGTTTCTGGTGAGCAGCTGGCACCTTAGCCCGCTCATCAGTGTATGAATGTGTGTGATCCAAAAGACGCTTTACAAATACAGACCATTTACCATTCCCCTGCTCCCTGCACCGGCTACTATGGCTGCTCGAATCTGGTTTGAGACACTGGCACTTGACAAATGTGCTGCAAATAGCTCAAGCCCATCCGAAATCCAGGACAGGGTCAAACACCCCAGCCCGTCCACAACGCTCCGCCAATCAGGTCGCTCACTACAAAGGGAGGGGCAGCTACCGCTCAACAGAATCACCACTGTTTGCTGTCCCGACTCCACAGGTGAGACGAGCTCCCGATCAACATCAGGAAGACTCAGCTGTTCAGACCGCAGCTTAAATAAAAACTCTTTCTGTGTCTGTTATTGTTTCGAAAAGTAGAAGCATTTTAGGTGATGTACCACATGTTTCTATAGATGTTTAGTGATAATAGCAGAGGTGGGACCAAGTCATTGTTTTACAAGTCCGAGTCTCAAGTCTTAGCACTCAAGTCCCAAGTCAAGTCCCAAGTCCGGACCGATCATGACGGGCAAGTCCAAGTCGAGTCCAAGTCTTAATCTCTGAGTTTCAAGTCCTAAACAAGTCATAATGCGCTCTTCACCAAATTTAAAAACCATTTCAAAGGTTTTTTCAAGTTAAAAATAAAACAATGAATGAAGCATTACCTGTACAGAAACAAGGCAGAGGTGCAGTTTCACACAACAAATTTCATGAATTAAATGAAATGTTCATGTAGGCCTGCTAATTATTAAGGTCAATATTGAGATCACAATTATTTAACAGGATTACTCATCGCCTTAGGAAACATTAACTATTGAAATGTAATACTTTCTTTTTAAAAACTAGGCTTCTATATATGAATTACTGAAAAATCCCAAATAGCCCATAAAATAAGAAACAATAATCCAACATTATTAACTTTAAGCAGCATCTAGTGTGCAAGAGGACGACAGCAGCACAGTTTCCCCCAAGTTGACAGCTTTGGGTGACGGATGTGTGTGTGTGTGTGTGTGTGTGTGTGTGTGTGTGTGTGTGTGTGTGTGTGTGTGTGTGTGTGTGTGTGTGTGTGTGTGTGTGTGCGCGCGCGCGCATTGTTCCCTCTTGCTGGAGGAAGCCACGTCTAATTGAGCATCATAATTTATATTCGGGCATGGGGAGTATCAAGTCAGCTTGAGTCAAAAGGCTCAAGTCCAAGTGAAGTCAAGTCATAATTTTTGTGACTCGAGTCCACACCTCTGGATAAAAGGGTTAACATTCAGCTGCATGCCTGGCTGAAGTATTAAAAGTTGAGCTAAAATCAAGAAAAAGCAGACGTGCATATGTTTGACTGTCTTCCAAAAAGTATCCACATGGCTGAAACGCACTTGAAGTCGCTTTAGATAATTTGACCTAAATGTGATGTAGGGAGGGTTAGACCAATTCAAGACCAAGACCAGAGTTTTATCGAGACCAGTTCCCAACATTACATGGCACTCAATAAAATTGTGAATCAAGATCATAGGTACTCAAACTGATCTGAAAGATCCACATTCCCATTAAAAACACCCACATACAAACACTAAGAGCTGAAATCAACATAAGCATCTTTATTCAACTCTCTCTTTCTTTTCCATGCTTACTATCATGGGGAGGGGGGGCAGTCATTAACGGGAACAACACATTTTTTAATTAGGGTTTCTATATATACACTCGGTCTTGTCTCGGTCTTGGAGACTGGTTGCATTTAAATCAATAAGTTTTCCATCCAATCAAAGTTTGGATGTTAACAAATAAATCAGATGATGAAAAAGCAATTTATCGACATTCCCAAAGTTATGCTCTTGACTGGTCTTGATATAAATTCCTGAGTCCTCAATGTCCAAGACCGAGTACAAATGCGGTCGAGTCTGAGACGAGACCAAGACCATCAAAAAGGGGCCTTAAGACTTGTCTCCAAACCAAGACCGGTCTTGAGTACTACAACATTACTGCAGTCTAAACCAAACCAGGTCAGACAACCAGACCAAAAGTAAACTCAGGACAGGTGTCCACATACCTGTCCACAGGCAGTGTTTCTCAGCCTGTGTAAAAACTAGGCCAAGTTTCACCTGACGGCCGGCTGGGTCTGTGCCGTAACCGGCCCCCTCTGGGGTCCAGACTCAGATGAAATACAAGCGTTCAGCTCAGCAGCATATTAGTTTATTAAATGCATATTAAACTGTTTGTGTGAAGATCAACGAGGACGTCTTCTGTTCCTGAGGGCCGCAGATCGACCCTGCAGCGTGAGTTCAGAACCAGCGGGGAGGAGAGGCTGCAGCATTCGACTGGTTAAACTGGTCAGGCCCCCAGTGAGAGCTGCTGGGTCTAACTGGGACACAGAGGCTGCCGAACGTGTCTCCGTGGTTACCGTTTCCATGGAGACCAGCCAGTCTGATAACAAGAAAAAAATTTCTGACTGGAAGATGACCTGTGTGTTTGGGGGGGGGTTTGTTTCACTGTACTCACGGGGTCTAAAAACTGTGATTCCACTGTACTTGTGGGGTCCGACAGCTTTATGGGGACCAAAATGCTGTACCCCGCAAGTTTAAAGGGAAGTCTGAGGGTTAAGACTTGGTTTTAGGGTTCAGGTTAGCATCAGATAGCTTGTAGCTGTGATGTTTAGGGTTAAGGGGTTAAGGGGTTAAGGAATTCATTGTGTCAATGAGATGTCCCCACAGGGATAGTGGAACAAACGTGTGTGTGCGTGTGTGTGTGTGTGCGCTCACTGTAAACTGGATCTGACAGCCTCCCATGATGTAATCCAGGAAGGAGTGCATCTTGATGATCTGCAGACAGAAAAACATGAATATTTAGAGGCTGTTATTTTGTAATGACATGAAACAGCGTTCGTTTACACGCCGACTGAAGTCACACTCACATCAGCTGTTTTCATTCATTCACACAGCCTCGCTTTTACAAACTGGAGGCGTGGAGCTGGAGAGACGGATAGTGTCTGGCTCAGGGCCGGCCCTGACAGCATTGGAGCCGTAGGCGAGATTTTATATTGCCGCCCCCCCTTATCCCATGTGCAAATGTGTAAATAAGTGTGATCGGCACGCTTGCCATCCTCCAGACATCACAGCCTAAATTGGGAGACTAAACATAAACTGGTATATACGTTCCTCCCAGAAACTATACAGAGACATTTTTCTTTCATTCTAGTGAATTTGTCGGGTAGACTTTTTGTAGAAATGCAAGAGCTCACTTTTATTTGAACACTGGAAGGGACACTTCTGGTTCTGGGGGACCTCCCCACAAACAGTTTGAGCATTAAACACTTAATTTCCTGCATTCTGGTGAAATTTTCTTCTCTGTATCAATTTAAAGTGTTATTTACGTAAAGGGAAACACAAAATTCAGGCAGCTGGTAAAAATTTTAAATTTTAAAAATGCAGTAAGCCTCTCAGGCCTTAGATCAACTATTATCATAAAATCCCTGCTGAGTCAGCACACATGACGTAGTCTTCCCTCCACTTTAGTGTTTTTTTTGTTTGGGGAAGAAACCTCTTTAAATGTGCACGTGGCACCTTGTCACCTCCATAATGAATGCATTCATTTTAATTCAGATAGAAACTCGTGGACTTTAATGGCTCCTGTGTTTCAGCATGTTCCAAACTTTGTGCACATTCAGAATCTCTCCCACGTATCTGTGTTCTCTGACATGTTGAGTCATAATATTACCAGAATAATGCCATAATTTAATCAGATTTCATAATATGTTAATACCTTCCCTGATACTTTGCTGCTAATTAGCATTCCCTAAGTCAAAAACTTTCTCTTTTGTGGCGCCCCCCCTCCCTCGCCTGTTTCGCCTATGCCACGGGCCGGCCCTGGTCTGGCTACTCTAGAGTATCTAGTGTTTTTGGAGTTTGATCATAGGGACTACAGTGTGTGTGAAAGGGCACGTTTGTCCAAATTTACACCTGTTTTGGTGACACACATTTTCACACATGCATTGTGCTTTATGTGGAGTTTAATATCAGCCAGAAACACAGAAGGTTTCATCCAGACGTCCTTGTTGTACATTATATCACAGTGTGTCACAGTGTGGAGGTTCTTGATGTTGTGGATTTTGCTGCTGTTGTTTCTGGTGAACCCGTCCTCTTGTGTCTTCGGTATGTTTCGCCTCCTGCTTCTGTGTTCCTTATGTCATTTGTTCATCGGTTTTGGTTCCTGTTTTACTTTGAAAGTGTTCTTCCTTGTGTGTCTCGTGCTGCTTTTACCTCTTCTCTTTATATTTTCCTTGATTGTTTGCACCTGATTGTGATCACCTCGTTATCCTCAGCCCTCCCGTGTAGTTTCATTCTCATTGTACCACTATTACGACTGTCTCGTCTTCCAAACCTCATCCCTGGTGTTTTCCAGTGTTTTGTGGATGGCACTTACAGATTTATATTCGGCTCTGTGGATTTCTGGATCATCACCTGTTCATTTATGGATGTTCGTGCTCTGTTTTGCCAACTTCACATCAACTGTAAGTTTCACCTGTTGTCAAATAAATTGCTCTAACTTAACAGTGTCCCTGACACAGTGTTTAGGTTTTGTTAGAAACAGGCGATCTGAAGACGTCATTGAGGGAAATTAGTTTGACATTTTTATAAACCAAACGACCGGTTAATTGAGAGAGAAAATTATTTTCAGATTACAGTCTAGAAAGGAGAGCAGAGGTGGAAAAAGGGTGGTGACCCGGGTTCAATCCCCCACTGTGACTCATTTACCATTGTGTCCCTGAGCAAGACACTTAACCCCTCGTGTTAAGGCGTGTGACCTCTGACATGTATAGCAATTGTAAGTCGCTTTGGATAAAAGTCACTGTGCAGAATGAATAAAATACTGCATTACAACATTATATTAATCAAAATAATCAATGTGTTCATCACTTGAATGGAGCTCATTTTAAAGACTATGTACACTGCCAGCTGTGTTAAACTAGTTGATGATATTTCATAAGAATAATCTGAATATGCAAAGTAACTGAAAACGCCACTTGCTCCGGCTGCTCTGACAGAATGAGAGTGAATCTTTATTGTGAACAACCAGCGGATGTAAGGAGGACAGAGCTGCATCTGGTTAGTGACCGGCCTGCAAACCTGCTCTCATTCTGTCATCTCGCCTCGCCTCCTGCACTCGGAGCATTTGGTTTCATTTCCTGCCTCCTCATCTATTAAGTGCAAATTACCTCGCAGCCTCCAGAGCAGCTCACTCACACTTTGTATGTTGTGTTGTGCTAAACCTCATTCTGCGTTGCGCTTTTCAAGCAGCCGTTAACTCGATCTGAAGCGGGAACTCTTCACGTTTCGAGTGTCATCTGGCTAAATGTTATCTGGCTTTCATTCTGCCGCAGGATTCCCCAGACCCCGCTCGCTCGGTCAGCGTCGTCTGACAGGAAATGTCAGGTTAGTCAGGCAGCCCGGAGCCACATAATTGGTTCCTCTAACGGTCTGTCGGCCAGACGCCACCATCAGCCTCCGAAAACACAGAGAAAAAGCTTCATCTGTGCCAGGAAAATGAGGTTTTAGGGCCCTAAACCATTTGAAACAGGGTAGAAACATTTATAAATACTGCCATGAAGGGTGATGTTAAGATGATACTGTTAAAGAGAAGCTGCAGTGTCTTAAAAAGGCACTTTTTTGGTAGTTAAGAGCGTTCGGGTCCTAATTAGCCTGCTAACGCTGACGACTCATTATTAAATAATGTGATTTATGCTAATATCACTGCCTTTAGTTTCTTAATCAGGCTCACTGTGGATGTCTGGAGAGCAGCAGATAAAGGTAACAAGGTTTTATTAAGGATTTCAATATCGGTACGTCTTATTTATGAAGCATCTCAGAATTCCTCTGAGACAGAGTGAGACGTCGTTGTTTCATCGCACTTTTAGAGTCAAAATAGTTAGTAAAGTAGTCAAAAGTTTTACAACTCCTCCATGTTGTAGTTCCTCTGTAAATCTAAGTAGTTCAAGTCCAGTGGAAAAACTTTAAATGGTACCAAAGTAAGCAGCAAACATTTTACGGCACAAAAAGAGACCTTTTCAGATCTAAAATTAACAATTAAATGAAGGAGTTTTGTTCATTATTTCACTGAAGGATCAACCAATGACCAGCTGCTCTGTCTGCCTTCATTAATATTAATATAGAATATATTTAATATAGTACATAAAGCTTCTGAGGGTGGATTAACAGACTGATATGAGGTATTTACAGCAGAAATGTTTCATTATAAACCCTAAAATCCATGTCTAGCACTCTCCCTGTGTGCTCTGACAAGGGTTTTAACTAAATTCTTGTGTGATCATGTTATTTGATCCTGTAGACACTTTACACAATTTACTTAAGTATGTTTTAAGTATTGGACTTTGCTACATTTTCAATCACATACGTTACTAAGTAAAACAAAAAAGTGCCAGGAAAACAACCGTTTCTTAGACAGCAGACCAGTTTGAAATATGGCAGTGAGAAATGCAGCAGCCGCAGACACAGCGAACTGTTAAAGAGCTGCACGCCTCCACCTTCAGCCAGGTAACCAGCTCCTTTCACTGTCGCTGTTCAGACTCATGTTGTGTGCAGCATGAAGTCAGATCATGACTGCGCACAGAATTATGGAAAATACCTATAAATGCCCGACAATAGTTTATTTAGCTGCCCCAGACTTCTGTAAGGTATCTGCTGTTAACACCAGTAACTACACGTGTCTCATGCTGCATAATGGCTTCAAAACAGGTTAATTAATGCCAGTTACATTTATATTTACAGATTTTTAACCATCACTCAGTGAACTCCTTGGCTGCGGTGTGAGAGCATTTCCTAGTTAAGTAGGCCTATGCAGACTTATCACTATGGATTTCGGCCTATCATGTTTTCAAGGAGTCTGTTCACATTGATAATAGCGTAAGCTAATAAAAATGTTCATTTTGTGAAAGTTGAAAATATTAAACCGTAATATGGCAATTATTTTTTGATTAAATCCGGCCCCCACAGTGTCTGTTTAGAACAAAATGTAGTTGAGGACCCCTGATGTAGAGGTCAGTAAATAACAGCCTGCTTCCATCTGTGGTTAAATATTTTTTCATAGTTTGGTAAGATGCTTTGCTCCAAATAGCTAAAAAGACATCGGTGCATGACAATGTTGGTTGGTGTTAGTAACCTGCTGGTTATGCTTATGAAATCCCATTAAAATGACCATCTGTCTGAATGTAAATAGGGATATGACTTCATATACAGTCCAGTGTTTCCCGTTTTCTCAGTCTAGTATGGGCCAGAGTTTAATCTGTTCCGCCACAGTTTCCTAATGAAGCGAAAACATTCTCAAACCTCTCATTATAACATTAAATGTTACTGTTGTTTCCCCATTGATTTGTCAAGTATCTGTCAAACAAACTAAAATTGAAATTACCATATGTATTTGTTCCATTATCCAATAATTATGTATAATATGTATAAATAAGATATTAAATAAATGTAAGTTGTTTTAGGAGATTAAAAAGTAACTTTTACTGAGTAAACTTGAGTAGATTTTTACACAGTAACTTTACTTGTACTTAAGTTTTTTTTGTACTCTTTCCACCTCCAGTAAAAACCTTCAGAATATAGTCAGGAATAAAACAGGAAAGTTTAGTGTCTGTAAGAGCTGCTGAAGAGATATCAGGCTCAGAGTGGGGGGGGACTCATTTTGAGAAAATTACAACATCATGATAGAATATCACACTGATAAATGAGTAACAGCATGCTTGAACAGTCACACCCGCAGAGAGCTAAACCAGGGAAAAGGTTTGTATTATGGCATTTCTTAGTTTCTAACTCTGGGAAAGTGGGAAGGACAGTAAACCTCCCCCAAACTACTGTATATGTATATCATAGCTAATGTAATAGTTTTCCATTTCCATTCACTGAGGAGGTCCGCCTCTCACTTTAAAAACTTCTGCTGTATGAAGTTTGATTTACGACTGTCATCTCTAACAAAGTTGATGAGTCTCCTGGACAAAAGCTACTGAGATATTTTGCTCTAGATCTGTAATGAACGAGGGATTAATGGATGGACCACGACGCAGAAAGTAGTGCTTTTTTATAATTAATGCTTCAACAAGGAAGCAGAACATTTCACAGCTGCGCATAGCTGAATGTCATCTGCAAAGTAATGACCATCAGTACTGTCGCTCAGGACCCCTAGTGGTGACGCCAAGACAGAAGAGCAGTGGGCCCAGGACAGAGCTCTGTGGCACTCCATATCAAATTTTAGTTTTTTAAATAAAACACCTGTTTTAATATGTCGGTCAGTCACCTTGCACTGGTTCAGAATGACAATCCCAGAGTTCTTGTAATTCTTCTTCTTCACCTGGTATTTGGGATTTATGCACGGCCACTGCACCTGAAAACACAGAAACAAATGGCTAATTATTTTCAGCTCGTCGGCCTCTAAAAACTAAATTTAGAGGAAACAAACATTTACCTGGACAGAGATTGTTTAATCTTTATTCCCATTTCATTGAATTTTGCTTACAAAAAGTATAAAACAAAACCTCAGGACATCACATACAGTAAATACACAGAGACATGGAAAAACATGAAGCCAGAATAATTACATTTTATTTGATCCATTATTTAGTCTCATCAAGATCAAAATCACTGTTTCAGAGAGACTTGTGCACAAGAAAACAGTAGAAACATGGACACAGAGTGTCCTCACCACCAAACGATATTACAGGCACATTCTTACAACCCATATTTATGTTTATTGTAGCAGCGCCCTCTAGTGACCGTAAGCTGGCAGCTAAGGAGGAAGTCGGGTGACATATTAGGCAGAAAGTCAGGAGGTAGAATTGGTCAAAGCCATACCTGCCGACATTGAAATTTTAAAATAAGGGACATTTTCAGGGGATCAAATAAAAAGTTACTCAGGCCTAACATTAATTCCAGTTGTCATGGAAATTATTCTCTTTCCTTGGGGGAGCATTTAACAAATAAATTACAACAAACTGTTGTCTTTTGGTTGATTTATTAAATGTGAATTAAAAGAAGTGCAAAACAATAAACAGCTGGACCAGAGATCCACTGCCTAGTGCAGTTAGTAACATCTGGCAAAGAACAAAGGAGTGCATACCAATTTAGCTCAGTGTATGTTTATGGAACAGAGGCTCCTTTGCCATCAAAGACTAAACTTACTGGAACAGAGTCAAAGGGGAACCGAGGGGACACAATAAACCTAACAAGCTGTTCCTTATACCACAGCCTACACATCAGTACATGGAAAACATAATATAATAGACTGAGTTACAAATACTAATATACGAGTATATGGATACTGTAATACAAGTGCATGCATAATGGGTGAAACACATACAGGAAGAGATTATCCGTCGCCACACCAGTTAGGTGGATTGTTTCATTCATTAAATGCTTTTGCAAGAAGAACTGTAAGGTTTAGCCCCATGGTGGAAGGAGGAGACATGGACATGAGTTCTTCACCTGGTGCTTTCATTTATTTTTAAACCAGATTCGTGGAAAGTGCAGTTGTGCAAGTGAGGTATTGTAAAAATATATCAAAAATTAACAAAAACAAACCGAGAAAACTAAGTATATACTATTCAAATTATCATTAAAAACTGAGATTACACAAAACAAAACCTATATCAGCCCTGACTATTGGGCTCCAGCACATGTGCCCTTCCAGGCCCAAGCTGTTCTCTCCAGGGGGCCTCTGCCTCCTTCCTTTATACCAGAAGCCCCTCCTACAAGACAAACCAAAGTTAATTGACAATCAATTAAACACCATTATGTTATCTCAACCATCAAACACATCTCTGGCTACATCACCACACAACAAATCAACTAGAAAACCAGAAATGAAATGTTACCGGCTAAACAAAAGCTTCTCAAAAGAGCAACTTTAAGATACTCCCGTACACCCCTCTGTACTGGCTCACACTTAGAC